TCATCACTTCTGTTTTTGATTTTGTTTTCATCTTTATTTTGCTGAAAAATCTTCAAAGTGAGAATTAAGTTCATTGTTGCTTTTGTTTTTGTTCTTGTTTTATTTTATTATTTTTCTGAAAACATTCAATATAAAAATGAAAATAATAATTCAATTAGTTAAACGCTTTTGTTCCTAGACATCTGCTTTTGGCTGCACCAGGTGAAGTTCTTGAAATTGAATTTTTCATCATTTTTATTTCTATTGTTTTTCTGAAAAGTAATCAAAATAAAAACAACAACTAATAACTGAATTAATTAAATCGAATCTGACAACAATCGAAATAAAAACAAAGAAATAAATAAAAATAAAACTAAAATTAAAAGTAAAAATAAAAATTCAACTTTCTTTTTGCTGCAGGGGGTGTACGGAAACCTCTACGAAGAACACAGAATGTCAGCAGAGGCGAAGCAGCAGCAAGAAGAGCCTGAAGTTACGGAAGAAAAAGCAGCAGAATCGGGTTAGGGTTTAGGGTTTAGGGTTTGGCGCTTTTGACTTTCGCCCGTGCGGGGGTTCGCGCTGGTGTTCCTCACGGAGGGTTTAGGGTTTGGATTTTTGCGTGAGGGTTTAGGTTTGGGCGTTGCGTGAGGGTTTAGGGTTTTTATTTTGTGCGAGGGCGCGAGGGTTTAGGCTTTCGACTGTGTGTGAGGGTTCGTTCTGAGCGAGGGTTTAGGGTTTTGATTTTGCTTGAGGGTTTGGGGTTTTGATCTGGTGCAAGGGTTTAGAACTTCGATTTTGCGGGAGGGTTTAGGGTTTTGACTTTGTGTGAGGGTTTGAACTTTCGGTTTTGCCTGAGGGTTTAGGGTTTTGATTTGTTGTGCAGATGCATCTTCTTCTTCCACAATTTCCCGATTTCCTTTTGATTTCCTTCTCCATTTTGTCTTGTTTTATTTTTGTCTTGTTTTCTTTTTTGTCTTGTTTTCTTTTTTTCTTGTTTTCTTTTTGTCTTGTTTCATTTCTGTCTCGTATTATTTTTGTCTTGTATAATTTTTGTCTTGTATAATTTTTGTCTTGCATAATTTTTGTCTCGTATAATTTTTATCTTGCATAATTTTTGTCTTGTTTCATTTTCGTCGTGTGTAATTTTTGTCTTGGAGTTATTTTTGTCTTGTATAATATTTGTCTTGTATTCTTTTCCCTTGTATTCTTCTGTCTTGTTCTATTTTTGTCTTGTGTTCTTTTTGTCTTGTATTCTTTGTGTCTTGTATTCTTTTTGTCTTGTTTTATTTTTGTCTTATTTGATATTCAGGTTCAATTCGTTTCGAAGCTGCTGCTGACGCTGAAGAGGAAGAGCCGCTTCCGTCGGCGTCGGACTTCGCCTCGGACTCCGACTTGGAAAGCGACGAGTTTTCCTTTTCAGATTCGGACTTCGACTCGGAGTTGGAGGGGAAAGAAGGCGAAAAAGAAGCTGAAGAAGAAGAAAGCGAAGATGAAAATGAAGTCTCCGTCGAAGACATTCCGCCGATGCTGGAAACCAGCAAAAAAAGAAAAGTTTCCGTTCAGAAACCTGAAGATCGGCCGGCGGTTCCTGTTGCAACTCTGCGCAGACAGGCGGCTAAAAGTGAGGAAACGAAGCGATTCAAACTGTTTTCAACTTGCGTTCTGCGAATTAAATGGCAATTCCAACGCAAAAATTCAAAATGTTCTTTCTTTGTTTCCAAATTTTCGAGTTTTCCCGAAAAGCGGCGCAGCGCGGTACAGCCGCGCCGCTGAGGTGTACGTACACCCGAGACAGACCCCGCGGCCACTTCGCTTTCTTTTCCGTTTTCTTTTTTTGTTTCAGGACGAAATACTCGAGTGCGGATTGAATACGAGCCGGAAGCCATGGCGGAGGAAATGTGAATTTAAGTTCTTTTGTTTTATTTTAATTCGTTTTGCAAAACCCTAAACCCTCGACCTTGAATCGCTGCTTTCGCCGAGACCCTCGGGACAGTCTGCGCAGCTTTTTGTCACTGACGCGCAACAGGGATCGCCACTTCGCGGCCTCTGCCGAATATTTAGTCAATTTAAATTAATTAGTTTCTTTTTTTTGAACTCCAGATGCAAGTCCACGGCTCCCCCGGACTTGTGCTCTGCTGCCCACGCCGTTTCCACCATCTGCAGCAGCAGAAAACTCCAACTTATAAATTTTATTCCTTTTTGAATTTCAACACTTTCTGCGCAAGCTGGCCACGCCCTCACTAGCCATTAGCAGCAGCACAAGCAGCAGCACATCTGCCTTCAGCAGCAGCAGCAGCAACAGAACCAGCAAGATCAGCAGCAAACTCAGCAGCAGCACAGCAGCAGTAGCGAAGGCAGCAGCAGCTGCAACAAAGCGGGACAGCAGCAGCACTGCCAGCAACAGCAGCAAAAGCAGCAGCAGCAGCAAATGCAGCAGCAGCAAAAGCAGCAAAAGCAGCAGCAGCAGACTCATTAGCTGCTTCTCAAGAGCTAATTGCAAACTCGCGGCCGCACGGATGCAAATATTAATGCAAATAAAAAGCGACCGTTTCACGCCAAACAGTCTATGGGCAGTTGAGATGTACATACACCCCGTTACATGCATGCTGGTGCGGGCACTTGGGGTGTACGTACACCCCGTTAGACGCATGCGCGCTGCCGTCGCGTTGGTCCGTTTCTTTTTGAGGTGTCAGTTGCAAACAAATAGAACAAAATAATGAAATAATAAACGAAATAATAATATTCAAGATGAATATATTCACATAAACATATATCCACTTCGCAGGCTGTACTGACACCGCGTGGTGCATGCATGGCTAAAGCTTTCCAGTGTATTGACAGCTCGTCGCTGCTGCGGCTGCGCACCAGCGACTCCTGCAGCAGCTGCTCTAGCTGCTGCTGTTTTCTTGCTGCTGCTGCTGCTGTGGGGTTTGCATGGGCGCGTACTGGCGGTACATGGGGGGGCACAGCAGCTGCTGCTGCTGCAGCAGCTCCTGCTGCTGCTGCAGCTGCTGCCACCGCTGCTGCTGCACTGGCAGCTGCACTTGCTGCCAGGCCGCAGCGTCCGCAGGGATGGGTGCGAACTGCTGCTGCAGCAGCTGCTGCTGCAGCAGCTGCTGCTGCTGCATCTGTTCACTCTGCACTGCAGGGAAGACGACCGCGCCCGACCTGCCGTGCTGCTGCTGCTGCTGCTGCTGCTGCCGCTGCTGCGGGTCTGCAGCAAAGTAGTAAGAGGGCCCCATGAAGTAGGCATAAAACGGCAGCAAATTCTTTGTGCTGCGCCAGCGGCAGCAAAAAGTAATAATGGAGGCCCACCAAGAAACTAGCGCAAGCATTAGCCACCCAGAAGCAACAAAGGGGCCCCCTGCTGCTGCTGCTTCTTCTGCTGCTGCTGCTGCGTCGCTGCTGTAGGCCGCAGAGGCCAGAGTCAAAGCAGCGTCGTAGCAGCCGTGCAGCAGCCCCGGCAGCAGCACGCTCTGCAGCAGCAGCTTGCAGGAAAAAGGGTTTAGGGTTTGCTGCTGCTGCCAAACCTCAGCCACCGGCGGCGTTGCTGTTCTGCTGCTGCTGCTGCTGCTGCTGCCGTCATCTGAAATGTGCACCACGTGCGCCTCCCCCACTGTCTGTACACCCTGGCCCTCCAGAAACCCTTCCTCTGCTGCTGCTGCTGCTGCTGCTGCTGCTGCCACCGAAGGGCCCCACGCGCCCGACGCTGCTGCTGCTGCTGCTGCTGCTGCACTTGCTGCTCCTGCTGCCAGCACTGAAGCAGCAATCCCTGTGTTCGCCACGTGGGAAGGAATCGCCGTAAATGCCCTGACACAAACAAGCACTCAGAAACCCTAAACCCTAAACCCTAAACCCTAAAACCGAAACCCTAAAACCGAAACTAGCTTGGCTGAGGAGACAAACAGATGGAAAAAATAAACAAAAAATGAAGACAAAACACGACCAAGCAACAAACCAGCAGCAGCAGCACTTACAAGAGCAGCACCAATATTAGCAGCAGCAGCAGCAGGAGAATCAGCAGCAGCAGCAGCGGCAGCAATACCATGAGCAGCAGCACCAGCAGGAGCAACAATATTATCGTTAGCAGCAGCAGCAGCACAGTAGGCTGCAGCAGCACCACTATTACCAGCAGCAGCAGCAACACCAACAGAAGCCGCACTATCAGCAGCAGCGGTAGGAGCTGCAGCAGCAGCAGCAGCAGCTCACCGAACCCAAGCAGTAGCAAGGGCCATTTCCATGTCGGACTTGGAGGCAAAGACATAACTGAGATTTTCAATTGTTGCAAATCTGCAGCAGAAGAAAAATACCATTAAAACCACTTATTATTCCTTATTCTTATTATTTGAGCAGGAGCAGCAGCAGCAGCAGCAGCAAAAGCACCAGCAGCATTAGCATCGCAACCAGCAGCATTAACCGCATCATCATCAGCAGCACCACCATCATCACCAGCAGCAGCAGCACTGCTCTTAGCAGCAACAGCAGCAAAACTCCTCCTAGCAGCAGCAGCAGTAGCAGCAGCAGCAGCAGCAGCGCACCCTAGTGCAGCACAGCAGCCCCCCACTACCATAGATAAAGGGTGGGGAACATAATGCTGCAAACAGCCTGGAGGCCCCCCTGGGGGGCCCCCCGGGGGGCCCTCCGGGGGCCCCGGGGCCTCAGCAGCAGCACTGAAGTGGCCTTTGCGAATTCTTCGGAGAATCCAATGCAGAAGATCATGTCTGGAACAAAAAGAGAAGAAAGAGTTTAAATAAATAAATAAATAAATAAATAAATAATAAACAAATAAACAAACAAATAAAATAAATAAATAAATAAATAAATAAATATTTTATTTATTTGATTGTGATGTTTGTGGCTTCGTCAAAGAAGAAATGCAGAAAGCGTTTTTATAGGTTTTGTTGCTCTTGCGTGGCTTGTGAGCCAAACCCTAAACCCTAAACCCTGAACCCTGGTAAACCCGGCCAAACCCTAAACCCTAGAAACCCCAAGCCGTGTGGTGCGGCGGCAGTATAAAAAGCAGCTCACCCTAAACCCTAAACCCTTAACCCCACACCCTAAAGCCTGAAGCCTAAACCCTAAACCCCACACCCTAAATCCTAAACCCTAAACCCTAGACCATAAACCCTAAACCCCAGACCCTAAACCCTAAACCCTAGACGCACAGAGGAAGATGAAGAGGGTGCAGAGGTAAAGATTAGGGTTTTGTTCTTCGGGGAATTTGCTGCTGTGGACTTTGCTGCTGAAGATGAGGGAGCTGAGGTGTCTGTACACCCCGCGGCCCGCAGCGCAGCCAGCAGCAGCAGCTTTTTTTTCGAGAAGTCCTTCAGCAACCAAATTCGCAAAAAGAGACAAAGCAGCAAACACTCCCTGCTGCTGCTGCTGCTGCTGCTGCGGGTGCTGCAGCAGGTCCTGCCGCAGCAGATCGCCGTGAACGCCGTGCTGCTGCTGCTGCTGCTGCTGCAGCTGCTGCTGCTGCTGCAGGTAGCTGATCCCTGCCGTTCCCGCTGCCGCGAACGGCGCGCCGCCCACGCCGCCGCCTCCGCCGCTGCTGCTGCTGCTGCTGCTGCTGCTGCTGCTGCTGGGAGAACCCCCGCAACCCCGCAGCTGCTTCCCAAATAAAACTGCTGCCAGCAACTCCAACCCCACCGCCAGTAACACACTCGAGAAGGCCCCGAAGAGCAGCAGCTCGAAGGCGCTCAGCCACCGCAGCCGGTGGGCCCCCGCCAGCCACTGCAACCTGCAGCAAACAAATAAAAATAAATAAATAAATAAATAATTGAATTAATTAATTAATTAATTAGTGATGAAGGGGAATTAAACGGATATATTGATGTGCGTGGCGTCCGGAAAGGCGCAGTGCACCCCCCGCTGCAGCAAACCCCAAACCCTAAACCCTAAACCCTAAACCCTCACAAGCACAGCAGCGCGAGCCCTGGCGTTACTGCAGCAATCAGCAGCTCGAGGCCCCCATAACCCCTCAAATGAACAGCTCCAAAGAGCTGCAAAAATAAAAGTAAAAATAAACAGGAAATCACAACAACCCCACGAACAGCTCCCAGGCAGCGCCAGCGGGCCCTTGGGGGCGCCCGGGGGGCCCCCGGGGGCCCCCAGTGGCTGGGACTGCTGAGGGGGCCCCCCAGGGGGCCCCCCAGGGGCCCCCCCAGGGGGGGCCCCAGGGGGGCCCCCAGGGGGCCCCCCAGGGGGGCCTC